ACTTCATCCAAAACGAAAAAAAGATTTGTACTTCAAGACAATATATCATGACGTGCACTTGTTTCGAATGGGCTGCCAATGCTTCATAATGCCCAAATATGCACCTGCTTTTTTTCCAGTGCACCACAATGAAGGCAGCGTGTCGGGGATGTGAGATTCACATGTTAGTGATTGGGTTGAGATGTACTAAAGGACGTATGCATTGGGGAGTCGGTTATTCTTTTGTATTGTGAGAAAACTTTCGAATTTGTAGTCACAGTATCCTGGCAAGGGACCAATGTCACCAAAAAAACTGATCGGTGCAACTGGAATTGTATCATCTGTTATCCCATCATATCAATAATGTTTTATATCTGTAGAAAATAAATCAAGGCAACCGTACTTGCTGTCATTTTCTTCTTGAAGACGTTTTGCTGGTCATCCGAATAGCTTTCCCAATTCTGAAATGTGAACGCTGATTGGATGACCAGCGAAACGCCTTTAAGAAGAAAATTACAAGTCCAGTTGCCTTGATTTGTTTTCTTTTTCTTTCTATAGGAGAGACAGCCAGGAGGATGACTGAGGAGAGACAGCCAGGAGAGAGAGAGGAGACAGCCAGGAGAGAGAGGAGACAGCCAGGAGGATGACTGAGGAGAGACAGCCAGGAGACAACCAGGAGAGGCAGCCAGGAGAGAGAGGAGACAACCAGGAGAGAGAGGAGAGACATCCAGGAGGATGACTGAGGAGAGACAGCCAGGAGAGAACAAGGAGAGGCAGCCAGGAGAGAGAGAGACAGCCAGGAGAGAGAGAAGAGACAGCCAGGAGAGACCGAGGAGAGGCAGCCAGTAGAGAGAGGAGAAGCAGCCAGTAGAGAGAGGAGAGAACGCCAGGAGAAAGAGAGAGGAGAGACAGCCAGGAGAAAGAGAGAGGAGAGACAGCCAGGAGAAAGAGAGAGGAGAGACAGCCAGGAGAGGGAGAGAGGAGAGACAGCCAGGAGAAAGACAGAGGAGAGACAGCCAGGAGAAAGAGAGAGGAGGGACAGCGAGGAGAGTGAGAGAGGAGAGACAGCCAGGAGAAAGACAGAGGAGAGACAGCCAGAGGAGAGAGAGAGGAGAGACTGCCAGGAGAGAGAGAGAGAGACAGAGAGGGGAGAGACAGCCAGGAGGGTGACTGAGGAGAGACAGCCCGGAGAGAGAGAGAGAGACAGCCAAGAGAGAATGAGGAGAGGCAGCCAGGAGAGAACAAGGAGAGGCAGCCAGTAGAGAATGAGGAGAGGCACCCAGGAGAGAACAAAGAGAGGCAGTCAGGAGAGAATGAGGAGAGGCACCCAGGAGAGAACAAGGAGAGGCAGTCAGGAGAAAGAGAGAGGAGAGACAGCCAGGAGAGAGAGAGGAGAGACAGCCAGGATGGTGACTGAGGAGAGACAGCCAGGAGAGAGAGAGACAGCCAGGAGGGACTGAGGAGAGACAGCCAGGAGAGAGAGAGAGAGGAGAGACAGATAGGAGGGTGACTGAGGAGAGACAGCCAGGAGAGAGAGAGACAGCCAGGAGGGTGACTGAGGAGAGACAGCCAGGAGAGAGAGAGAGGAGAGACAGCCAGGAGGGTGACTGAGGAGAGACAGCCAGGAGAGAGAGGAGAGACAGGCCTTGATTTGTTTTCTACAGATATGCCAAGACCTGGATGACTGAGAACCCTCACAGCACATGTTTGTGTTTCAGTTAATCCATCAACATTTAAGGGATGCCCCTTCACACGAATCTCTGTAAGTCCTGAGCAGCCTTATAAGTGTCCTTCCTGGAGACAGCACTGGTGGTGATAAAGATAAAAGCAGACTTTGTAGAAATGTAGAAGTGGTGGGAAGTGGCTGAGGTAATGGTGGGTTTAGTGATACCGCAGAACTCCATATAAATGGTTGTTTGTTGAAAAGCTAAACACAACATTCATAATTTACAAAAAGCCCATCAGACATGGACCATCGTGTCATGAATACAGCTACTTGTCACTTGTATTGGTCTGGTGCTTTTGCATGGTGTGTTACACTCAGTTCCTTTTTACTATGTTGAACAAAGGAGATCTGTACTTGTCCATTTCGGGCCCCTGTGGTTGTTTTGTTGTGTAGAAGATTGGCCCGGATATTTTTCTATATCGGGTTTCAGTACCAATAGACTGTCTTAGTCATTTTGAGTGATATTCATTTGGTACTGATAATGCATGTGGAAATGTAAAACTCAGTAAGAAACCCTAGCACTAACCCATAGCTAATTACCCCTGAACCTTGTGCTAACCTGTACCATGTTATCCCCATACTTAACCGAATATCTGTCCATGTATCTATCTGTCCATGTATCCTTAACCTTTGCCCTAGCCTCTAACCCAGCCTCTTTCAACCAAGGTTCCTCCAGAGGTTCCGTAAGGTGCGAGGAATTTCTCCCTCCCAAATAAGTAACCAAGGCACCAGTGATCCTTTTAGCTATCTGTAAGGGGGTCATTCTATGCACTGACCCCCAATGTAAGGGGGATTCTTCATAATGACCACCATTGTAATGGGCATTCTTCTCAATGACCACCAATGTAATGGGCATTCTTCCCACTGATCACCAATGTAATGGGCATTCTTCCCACTGATCATCAATGGGATGGGCATTCTTACCAATGACCACCAATGTAATGGACAGTAGTGATGAGCCGAACAGGTCCGAGTTCGGTTCAAATTCGAACTTTAGAACATCCAAAAAGTTCGAACTTGAACTCAATGCAAGTCCGATTGTGACTGGTGTGACACATGCGAATCCCAATGTGTCCGAATTTCCGTTTCCGAATTTCAAATCCCGTCCGAATGTCATTTAAAAACTAAACTGAATCAAACATGTGACTTTTCTGTCCAATCAGATGTGTTTTTCGGTTTCATGCATCCGAACACGAATTTTCGTTAAGGCAACATGGGACCCATTTGCTAGAGGGCCAGACCATTATAAATAGGGAAGCAGGTTGTTTACCACGACAGTAGAAGTGATTTTTTTCTGAAGATACGGGTAAACAACGCTTAACAGCCTTTAAACGTGGGATGATCGTTGGCCCTCTGAGGCATGGAGCGAGTATCAGCAAAACAGCAGAATTCGTTAAATGTTCAAGAGCAGCTGTTGTTAAAGTGTTTAAAGACCGGACTGTCAGCCGAAAATCTGGGTCTGAACGTGCGAATTGTGGCCGTCAGCGACTAGTCAATGTTAGGGCAGAACGCTAAGTGGCAAGACTGGTACAAGACAACAGAAGGGCAACAGTGCAGTGTCAGATTCCTCGCATCACCTTTCAACATATCGTGGAGTCACGAGGCGGCCCAACGAAGTCATCTCGTGGAGTCATCTTGTGGCCCAACGAAGTGCTGATGGGGTGGTCATAATAATCTGGCCACTCAGTGTATACATATAATACTAAAGCTGAGGCTCCTAGACCCGAATGACATTCGGCATCCGAATTTCCAAATTGCATTCGGGTCTGGGAGCCTCAGCTTTAGTAATATATGTATATAGCTCCCGGACCCGAATGGCATTAGGGATTATAAAAAAAATATAATAAAATTGACTTTTGTAATTGCAGTAAGATGTTCAGGATTATATGAGATTTTAGTGATTTATATGTAATTCCTTATGTCCGCTTGGAGAAAACACAATGGATCCTGAAACCCCTGAGTGTTTTTGGTTTGCTACATTATTAACAAACAGGACATTCCTTAGGATGCTGCGACATGTGTAACAGTCATTAACAAAATTAGCTTCAGCCTGCAGATCAATACGAAGTGTTGTTAATGGCGCAGAGTTCCTAATGGCTGTGCGTTGTCTGCTGCTTTCAACAAGTTAACCACGGGAAGTGACGGTTTGATTTCAACTGCGTTTGTACCCAGGAGCTTCATATCCCCCAAACGCTTCCTTCCATCTCCTTTCTCTGCTGACTCAGCGCTCTGACAGGTTTTTGTCCATGATCTGCAGCTGATGTGTTTCTTCAAAAACATGTCATTCAGATAACATTCATCATGTTCACGTATGTGCACTCTTCACTCTTTATGAGGAGCTTCTCATTAAAAAGCAAGCTGATGTTCAATCAGCTTGTCATGCTGCTCCTTCGGCTTCAGTACTGATCATGAACGAGTATGTAGCCAGTGAATCAGAAATATATATAATAGCTTCCCGTCCAGTGGTTGTTCATAAGCGGCCTGATGGGAGCATTCTAAATGCGGGTGGCCTTTTCAAAACGTCCCCCAACCCACCCCCTAGCACACTGTACTTACCTTCCTTCTATCCTTCCCCAGCACCCTGTACTTACCTTCCTTCTATCCTCTCCCAGCACCCTGTACTTACCTTCCTTCTATCCCCCCCAGCACCCTATACTTACCTTCCTTCTATCTTCCCCCAGCACCCTGCACTTACTTTCTTTCTATCCTCCCCCAGCACCATGTACCTACCTTCCTTCTAGCTCCCCCCAGCACCCTATACTTCCCTATGGGAGAGGTAGGTGCACCCTTTGTCATGAAGTCATACTTACACAGGAATTCCTGGGGCTCTGACAGCAGATTGGGGGGTGCAGGGAGGGTAAGTACCAACTACTTATGATTCTGCCTGCCATGTATATAGTACACATCCACTTGACAATTGAAGACAGCTTGGGGGGGTAGTAAACCGCTTTTAAGCTTGGTTCCCACCTAGGCCAAGTGTGAACCTAGCCTTACAATTGTCTGAATCTATCCTCCAAATCTTCTGGATTCTTTTATACCGACAGGCCACAAAGTATCGCCCATCGCACAATTACAACTCAAAATGAAGCATCAGGGAGACCTGAGCCGTCCCTATAGCCCCGGTGGGGTGAGATGCTGGGATGCTGATGGTGGTCCTCCAGTGCTGTGCCAGCCTCCCAGCCCCTCCCCCCCGCCTGATGCCGAGCTAAGTGGAGTCAGTGAGCGCTGATGAGTCCGCTCAGTCCGAGTCCCGCACTGCTCCGCTCTCCTCCGTCTCATCAGTGCCGCCTCCAGGATGCTGCCCGGGATCCCGGCTCTACTGCTCACCCTGAGCACCCTGTGCCCCGTACTCCGTGCCTTCAACCTGGACACCGACCGGGTCACCGTCTACACCGGGCCACCGGGCAGCTACTTCGGGTACTCGGTGGATTTCTATATTCCGGACCCCACAACGTAAGTGTGATGGCAGACGGTGCTGAGAGTCACATGCGGCTCATCCATGGACCATGACACCCAGCATTGCAAATGGAATGATAGAAGTACACAGGCTGTCATGCTCATCCGATGGCTTCAGTACTTCTCAGTCTCTGACCTGGAGGAATGATGTAGATTTGGAGTTCAGAATCTCTTTGCTTTTCTTCCTCTGCATGCTTAAAGCCAAAGCATTGACTTCTGGTGTATAGAAGCCATAGGCAGCCAGGGACTTAGCATTTGCATGGTGCTGGCAACTGTTGATTTGGCATATGTCTCATTAGAGGTGAAGCCATAGCACTGGCATTTGGAGTACTGAAGCCATAGGCAGCCAGGCAGTTAGTATTTGCATGCTGCTTGCGACAGCTGTTTTAGCCTATGTCTCAGAGGTGAACCCATAGCATTCGCTTCTGGATATAGAAGCCAGGCACTTGGCATTTGCATGTTGCTGGGAACTGTTGATTCAGAATATGTCTGAGAAGAGGTGAAGCCATAGCATTGCTTCTGGAGTATAGAAGCCAGGCAGCTGGCATTTGCATGTTGCTGGCAACTGTTGATTCAGAATATGTCTGAGAAGAAGTGAAGCCATAGCATTGCTTCTGGAGTATAGAAGCCAGGCAGCTGGCATTTGCATGTTGCTGGCAACTGTTGATTCAGAATATGTCTGAGAAGAAGTGAAGCCATAGCATTGCTTCTGGAGTATAGAAGCCAGGCAGCTGGCATTCTTATGTTGGCAACAGTAGCTATGGTACATGTATCATTAGATATGAAGCGATATTGGCTTCTGGAGTACTGAAGCCATACGCAGCCAAGAAATTAGCATTTGCATGTTGCTTGCCACAATAGTTTCAGCATATGTCTCATTAGAGGTGAACCCATAGCATTGCTTCTGGAGTATAGAAGCCAGGCAGTTGGCATTTGGATGTTGCTGGCAACAGTAGATTCGGCATATGCCTCATTAGCCGTGAAGCCACAGCATTGCTTCTGGAGTATAGAAGCCACAGGCAGCCAGGCAGTTGGCATTTGCATGTTGCTGGTAACAGTATCTTTGGTATATGTGTCATTAGACATTAAGCAATAGCATTGGCTTTTGGAGTACTGAAGCCAGGCAGTTAGCATTTGCATGTTGCTGGTAACAGAAGATTTGGCCTATGTCTCTTTAGAGGTGAAGTCATAGCATTGCTTTCTGGAGTACTGAAGCCATAGGCAGCCAGGCAATTGGTATTTTCATGTTGCTGGCAACTGTTGATTTGGAATAGGTCTCAATAGAGGTGAAGCCATAGCATTGGTATCTGGAGTACTGAAGCCATAGGCAGCCAGGCAGTTAGCATTTGCATGTTGCTGGCAGCAGTAGCTTTGGCATATGTCCCTTTGGAGGTGAAGCCATAGCATTGACAGCCAGGCAACAAGTATTTGCAGGTCAGCAATGGCACGTTCTATATTTCTTTCAGTGGAGGGTTCCTTTAAATTTTTGAACCGTGGGGAAATGAAAAATCCTCCATTGCAGTGTGCAGGGCCCCCCTCCCCCCTCCTCGGACTGCAAGTGTCATTTTGTGCAGACAGGGAAATGATCAAAGACAACGCCAGTTGCCTGTCTGTCATGCTGATCCTCTGCTTCCAGCAGTTTCTTAATCCCTCTTTTGGGGTAGATTTGCAGATCAAGAGTTCTAAATTTTGCCTTAGCTGGCTGCATGCTTGTTCTGCCTCATGTAGTTGTGAAGGCTGAGAGCCAGGCAACTAGCATTCTCAGAAGAGGGGCGGCGATGGCATATTTGTCTCAGTCTGGCGTTTGCCTTAATTGCAGGATCAGAAAATTGGGGCGGCAGGCAGAGGGGACCTGGCAATGACCCCGGCCACTTCCTCTATGTGAGAGACACAGACGCATGTTCACCAGCTGTCCCTGACATGCCAGGACAGTCCCTCAGCTTCCATAGGACGCACCTAGAGAGTCAGAGCTGTCCCGTCACATGATGCTGAACTCATCCCTGTCATTGATTATTGAGTATGCGGAATTAGGAATGATCCGTGGTCACCTGTCCGGGGCGATGGCGGTGTGAGGGAGGGATTATAAAGCTGATACATATGGAGATTGTGATCCCTCAGCATTGTGCGTCCTGAGCCTGAGACGCTCAGCAGCCGCATGTGCCTGGCAGGTCTGGAGATAATTCAGGGATTTGATCCAATACAGTTTCAGTCATTCCCTCTATTGGCTAACTTAAAGGATACGTTCACTTTAAACCAAAGCACATTTATCCTTTTTGCCCTTTTCCCCCTGACCTAAAGTAACCCACCCTCCCCCTCCACAGAGGCGTTCTTACCTTGATCTGATGGCCGCAAGTCTTCACTGAGCTGGTCGCACCTCTCATAGACTTATATGGGGCTGAAGTGGCCCTTCTGGTCATGCAATCACTGTGATTGGCTGTCATAATGGTCACATAATCGGGGGCCTGATCCCATCGGCTGCTGATCATTTCCACTGACTGCTGATCAATGTTACTGACTGCTGATCATTTCCACTGACTGCTGATCATTCCCACTGACTGCTGATCAATGTCACTGACTGCTGTTCATTTCCACTGACTGCTGATCAATTTTTACTGACTGCTGATCAATTTCACTGACTGCTGATCATTTCCACTGACTGCTGATCATTTCCATTGTCTGCTGATCATTTCCAATGACTTCTGATCAATTTCACTAACTGCTGATCAATTTCACTGACTGCTGATCATTTCCACTGACTGCTGATCAATTTCACTGACTGCTGATCATTTCCACTGACTGCTGATCAATGTTACTGACTGCTGATCATTTCCACTGACTGCTGATCATTCCCACTGACTGCTGATCAATGTCACTGACTGCTGTTCATTTCCACTGACTGCTGATCAATTTTTACTGACTGCTGATCAATTTCACTGACTGCTGATCATTTCCACTGACTGCTGATCATTTCCAATGACTTCTGATCAATTTTTACTGACTGATAATCATTTCCATTGACTGCTGATCATTTCCAATGACTTCTGATCAATTTCACTAACTGCTGATCATTTCCACTGATTGCTGATCATTTCCACTGACTGCTGATCATTTCTATTGACTGCTGATCATTTCCATTGACTGCTGATCATTTCCACTGACTGCTGATCATTTCCATTGACTACTGATCAATTTCACTGACTGCTGATCATTTCCACTGACTGCTGATCATTTCTATTGACTGCTGATCATTTCCATTGACTGCTGATCATTTCCACTGACTGCTGATCATTTCTATTGACTGCTGATCATTTCCATTGACTGCTGATCATTTCCACTGACTGCTGATCATTTCTATTGACTGCTGATCATTTCCATTGACTGCTGATCATTTCCACTGACTGCTGATCATTTCCACTGACTGCTGATCAATGTCACTGACTGCTGATCATTTCCACTGACTGCTGATCAATGTCACTGACTGCTGATCATTTCCACTGACTGCTGATCAATGTCACTGACTGCTGATCATTTCCATTGACTGCTGATTCTTTCACTGGCTGCTGATCATTACTATTGACTACAGATCATTACCACTGCCTGCTGATTATTTCCAACAGCTGTTGATATTTTTCTCTGGCTGCCTATAATTTCCACTGCCTGCTGATCGGTAGCAAATGAGGTCACCGTGCTGGGAGTACTCTCAGCACAGAACAGTGGTAGTGGCAGCTGCAAGAATACATGCCCCAGCCCGGCGGTGACGCCTAGTGCCATGCTGCCTCATATATGCGTACGGCCAGTCAGGAGGTGCTCCGTTATCCAGTGAAGGGTATTCTGTAACGTGTTACGATACTCTACTGTTGCTGGATTGAATTTGGGATAAGGCCTTTGTGGGCTCCAGAGCTGGCCGCACACATGACAATCATCCAGCAAGCTCATCCAGCTTTTAATAAATCAAAAATCAATCAAGCCGATCCAGCCAATCCACACCCAGCAGTTCATATGGAAGGGAGTTTGATAAGTGGTGCCAATCCGATCAATTGCTTTTGGGGTCGAACTACTGGTTGAAAAAAGAAAAGCTTGTAAACCATAACAATGAACTTCTCTTATTTGGTCCCCATTCGTCTGTGAAATAGAACATTGTAAACATTTTGTTATATCTGTTTGATCAGTTCAAAAAATACCTGCTGATCCTGCCAGAAATCCAGTGTGCTGATCATTTCCTGTGCTTTCTGTTATACATTTTTCAGTTACATTGTTCCCAGTTATCTCTAGGGACTGCCGAACGCCTCCCATCTATGTTATAGAAAAGAGAAAGGGGGTGTGTCCTGTAGCCCTGTCCTTGGGTGAAAATGCTGCTTCTTCCTAGATACAGTACAGTAAGTGAGCGTTGTCACCCTAGGACAGAAAGTAAGTTGCTGGCGGGATCAACAGGTGAAAATAAGAATGGTGAGCTGCAATATATAATATTTTTATCCAGGGTTTAGATCTGCTTGAACAAAGTTTACTACATGAACATTCTCTACTCTATTAGTGAATCACCGCCAGTCAGTAACTGTCTTGAAAATACTGTTGTTTTAGGTGATATAGCACTACAAGTCTCAGCATGCCAAGTCTCCGGTTACCCAATACTTGTGTAACAATGGATACAAGTGGATACCCCGGGGGGATTCTGGAACAAATTATATCCCAATGTTTGTACTGTTATTATGGAGTTTCAGAAACACAGGCGTAAGGAATTGCTGGCTGCCTGCTTTCTGCTATGTACTGTTCCACAGGCATCATTTAAATCCTGCTTGCTGGTACATGTAGTCCCACATGCTGGTACCTCTACACAATGGTGCATGTACTTCTGTCTGTGATTACTCTGGAGTCAGAGGTTGTCTGTCTCCACTTTATATAGTAACATATCTCATCAGCTCCACCATGTCCTATAAATATATAATGTATCCAAAACACATTAAGGATTTATAAATATAGAAAATATGGAGACAGAGTATCAATGCCGAGTGTGCGGAACACTTGTAGGGATTGAGTGTGTAATAACGAGGGATCGGCTTTACACTTGTCTGTTTCTTCAATGAAATGATAAGTTTGAATTGGAATGATATAGGAGAGGAATGGAGGGGATGGAAAGAGAGAGAGAGAGAGAGAGAGGGGGGGCGGGGGA